CATGTCAAATTTTAAAATCTACAAAGACCAATAATAATCAAACTTGCATTTACATGGAACCCAATCATTATTTCAATTTTCATTAAATAATACCACTGTAAATATCCTTACAAAACATTCTTTCCCTGGATTTTTGATATCTTTCTTGGGACAAACTCTCATAAACAGAATTAAGATCAAAGCATATGAACATTTTTAAAAATATTTTTGATATATATTACCAAACTACTTTTTTAAAAAGCTATTTCAATTTGCTTTCTTATCTGTAGACTGAAACTCCTATCACACTGAATGCTCCTCAACATTTTTAATTATCTGTTTAAAAACACTTTGCCAGTATGACAGGCAAGATTAATTAGTTATCACTACTATCATCATTATTATTTTATTGGGCACTTGCATTTCTCATGAAGTGGCTTACGTCACCTCTGTTCACTTTTTTCTGAAAGGTAAAAGAATTTATGTACTTCTGTGCTGACTGCTCTAAGAAAACTAATTTTATTTAAAATGCTCGTTCTGGTTTATTGGGCGAAGGAAATTATGTATCTTAGAAACACATTGATTACATGTTCTTTAAAATGGTGTCTTCTTACTTTGAGTTTTTCTCCACCAAATAAAAGGGCACATTAAGTAACATTTAATTATAAACAAATAAGCTTTCTGAAACAACCCAAGTGAAAGGAAAACCCCTAAGTAATTTTCAAATAAATGATTCCTTTACATAAATATAAAGAATAAAAGCTACATTTCACTTAAAGGATAAAGGTAGTTAAAACACTTTTTGTTTTCTTTTTATTCAGCAAATCGGTCCCTAACCTATTAGACTGAAAAGGATTCAAAGGTAATCAACAATAATTAGCAGTAAGTTTCTTCACATAACACAAACATAAACACCATTAGTAATGGCATACCTTCCTCTTCACTGGATGTTTTGGGACATCCATGAGGAAGATATGTTAGTTGAACCTTACGATTTATTCCAGAAAAATGGCCATACCTGAAAAATAAATGGAAGATGTATAATATTCACTAAGTATTCAATGTATCTTCTAAAGAAAAACTAAAACTCATCTAGAGAAAAACTAGATCTTAAAATTGATGTCTCTTTCAATGTGTCACTACCTCATAACTATATACTCTAGAAGAAAACCTGTGCTATCTAAATATATTACAAAAATAGAAAAAAATCATTAAAAAAATTTGAACATTTTGAAGAGAGTAAGATATTGAATGGCATTGAGACATATCTAAGTTTTTGCAAAATATAAAGGAAGTAAGATTGTACATGTTCAAATATGCAAAGCTTGTAAAAAGAGCACTGTTAGTAACGATTTCACTTGATTAAAAGGCAGTTCAATACTGCTTTTTATTTAAACAGCATTGAATTTGTGGTCAAGTTAGCAATGTGAACTTTCTCTAAGTAGGAAGTACTGCATAGAGAATCTAACTTTGAACTTCTCATTTAAAGTAAAAGTAAAAATAAGACAACACTCTTTAGTAGAACAATTTATTTTCTCATTGGTGAAAATAAAAAATTCATTAACTTTTTTTCTCTTTTCTCCTTAGTTCCAGATCAAACCAGGAAGGAAGTTAACCCAGGAAATCATATATAAAAAAAGAGCACCATTCAGTCAAGGGGTTTAAAAAAAAAACTCACATCTCTAACACAGTCTTAAGCTGTTCAAGTTTTGACTTGTTTTCTTCAATTTCGGAATCATTATTTTGCCCTAGTTCCATGAGCAGTTGTCGAGCGATATCTAGTACCTCCTATAAAATAAATTAATAAAGAATGGAATCTTTTTGCTGCTGTGCCATTAGCACTTTAAAAATTAAAAAGAAATCAATTGTACTTGCCTGTAATTGTTTTGGCTTCTTGAGTTTCAATTTCCCAGACTTATATCCATCACACTTTTCAAAAAGATCAAAAAATCTTATAAAAAAGACAGAATAAAAATAACTGTCAATTATTTGCAATAATTAATATTATTATCATATGCTTACATGAATCAACTATAAGAAATGACAAAAATGGAAGTACAACAATAATACATAACAGAACTTAGAGATGTATGAGTTTCAAATATTGTATGCTCTCTTTCACTATACCATATTGCTTTTCTCCTTTAATTAAAACAATTTAGAAATGTCCCAAACTGTGCCAAATGAATAGTTACTAGATGACTTTTGCAAGTCATATGATTATAAAATATAACATATCCCCTGAAATCACTATACACCTAGTGTCAATTATTTGCTTGACACATACTTTATAGTGTAAGTTTACAAACTTTATTATTCCAAATCAAATATTGAAAAGAGGTAACAAAGCCTTTTATTTTATTAACTTTCTTTAGAACACTGAGAGGTTAATAATGCTCAGAAAGCAATATAAGACAATAAGACACCGAGATTAAATAGAAAAACTTTATAACAATATATGAAAGTGAGTTCAGACTGATGATCAAGTATCAATATTGCTATAATTATTTTCAGACACTGATATATATCATTTAAATGCATTTTGTTTATAACCAGTGATTTAAATATTAATGACCAAGAAAAAGTATATATAGTTTTTCTATGTGATGTATTATTCAAAACAGCTTATCATTTATCAGAAATATTAAATTATCTCCTGATTACAAAATTATTCCTCCTAAAACATACTTTTGATGCCTCACTTCCATTTTCATTTTCTGTTTTGGTGTTCGATCTCCATGACGAATGACAGCAATGACACATCTAAGTTCCATCCTAAAATTAAAAAAGATTCTCAGTTTCCTATCAATTTTTTTTGTTTTATAATTCATATTAATATACTTAACTATCTACTTAGAGACAACTTTTTCATTTCAACATCTTTCCTATGAGGAACAGTATTTACAACAACCAGCACTGATTTTATAAATCAAATTCATTTAGAAGATAGAGCAAGAGTGATATTAAGTTGTGTAGTATCTGCTACTTCTATAGATTTCTAAATATGCTAACTCTGGGATAAAAGCAAAATGGACAGCAATTCAGAGCTTTATTACATATCTCCTCTTCAGCATAAGACTCTCCAGACTAAGGTTTCATTAAATCAAAATGAAATAAAGCTTAATTTAATAACTACAGTATTTATTCTGCCCACTAAGAAAAAACTAATATTATGAACTCAACTTACTGGAAGATGCAATTATTTTAGAAGAATGCTTAGGTTAAGAGAAGTAATTTAGTTTGTCAAACTAAGGCATAAAACAAAATTTACCTAAATAACAATTTAGATATAGAAAGTAACTTTCTCTAGGGGAAGACTAGAAAGACACTTTGGTAATACTGGTCTAATTAATTTATCTTCAAATATAACTATACAATTCTCTTAAGTGGTAAGAGCAGCAGAACTGTATGGCCATTGACTGTGAGCCTGTAAAGTAATGTGCCTTCTTTTTTATAGTTTTTTTTTTTTTAAAGATTTATTTATTTATTCGTACAGAACTGGGGTACAGGCCAGAGATGCAGAGGGTGAGAGGATTCACCAGAGACAGAGCGGGAAGCAGAACAGGCAGATCGACTAAGCACACTGTTGAGGGGAGCAGCGGGCGGGTCAGGAGAGGTCTGCCACGCCATGTGGTCACCGCCGGGGCAGGCGGGAATCGAACTCATGCAGAAGCGGCTCTTTAGTTTCTTAGTGCAGTGCTTTAACCCGCTGCGCCACCAGGGAGGGCCCCTTTTTTATAGTTTTAATAAAATTTAACAAGCATGTTTCAGGACATTCTTCATAATAATACAAAAATTTATCCAGAGAAAATAAAATACAAACTTGAAAATATTATGTGACCCACATGCTCACTTTAGCATCTTATAATAGCCAAAATAATGAAATAATCTAAGTGTTCATAGGTGGATGAAGGGATCAAAAAAGTGGCACATATATATATATACAATTGTATGCTATTCAGGCACATAAAAAAATGGACTTTTACTACTATGACAACATGGATAGAACTTACTGGCATTATGTTCAGAGAAATAAATCAGATAGAGTAAGACAAAAAGCATAACTCTGAATAAGCAATTTTAAAACAAAACAAAAAACCACCAGCCATAGATTCAGAGAATACACTGATGGCTGCCAGGGGAGGGAGGCATGAGGTAGACAAAATGGGTCAGAGGTGTTAAAAGGTATAAAAGTTCAGTTATAAAATGAATTCATAAGGATGCAACGTGTAGCGTGGTAACTATAGTTAATAATATATTGCATATTTGAGCGCTGATAAGTGAGTAGATCGTAAAGATGTTCCTCACCACAAAAAAAAAAAATTAATTTTAGCTATGTTAACTAGATTTATAATCATTTCACAAATATATAGAAATATATAACTGAAAAAAAATATAATGTAGATGTCAATTATACTTGAATCAAAAAAACAAATAGAAATATAATCTTTACTGTAAAGAACACACTGACAAGGAAAACTCAGAAGAAACTCAAACTTACATAGTTTCTAACTGAAGAAACTCAAACTTACATAGTTCCAGATGTAGTAGGTACAATTGGGATATCTTCAGCTTCTAAGGGTATTGACCAGGGAATATGAAATTGTGGAGCAAGCTCTCGCATTACAATATTGCTTTAAAAAAAAAGAAATAAAAAATAAATTAGTTCATCTTAATACAAAACAAGGCATTTAGTGGCATATGATAAAAACACAAGAGTTAAAGTCAAAATATTTAAATATCAAGTGACCCCAAAGAATTGCTTATGCCTAAGAAAAATTATTTCAGTAGTTCTAAACTAGGACATCAAAATACATTAATGTAATTTTGTTTATTTGAAAGTATTTACTTATTTGGTTTAGAAAACAAGAGCCACACTAGATTTAAATAAATCAATATAACTGCATCATTTTTATTTACATACATTCTGAAATTCAAGATTGTCTTTACTATCTGTATGACCACTAAAATTTCTTTCCAGCTTACTCAACACCTATTTTGCTATTCTGAATACCATGTTCTTTTTTTAGCAAATCTGTTATATACTTGTTACTAAGGAATGAATGATGAAAAATGAATGATGTTAAGTAATTTATTTTTATTGTTTAAACTTATCTTTATTGCACTAACATTTAGTAAGCTGTTACAAATTTTATTTTAAGAATAAGTTTACAGATCTTTGAAATGTACTATAATTGAATATAAATATACTATAATTGAAGCTGACTTCAATTACTAACATACATTTTTAAGTATTTATGTCTTTGCCATATATACTTTGCTTTAAAAAAGTTCTTGTCTTCAGAGGTTTATAAATCAAGTTACATGAAACTAGAACAAATATATAAAATGGCATTTCTATAAACATCTTTTTTGCATTCACTTGATAATCTCATGAGATTCATTTTAAGTGGCATAATAGTGTCCTTCAAAAGAATCTTAAATTTCAAATATTTCTACTTTAATCTGATTACTTGTCTCATGGTTGTTAATTTTGTGCTATTAAGTTAAGACAATGAAGCATGTTCAATGATAACAACAGCAAAAACCTGAGGAATACAGTAGCCTAGTAAATTTACTATTTTGATTAATAATCACGTTATTTCTAAATCTATGATGTTAAAATAACTTTAATCCTTTATGTATTTTGATAACAAAAGTATAACTCAGGATTTGGCATCATCTTTGGGGATGTCACTATATGAACACTGAGTTTTATTCTAGAGTGCTCACAAAAGCCTAATTCAAAAACTGCTGTTCACGAGTATTTTTTTTTTTTGATAACCAATAAAAGAGGGAAAAAATAAGAAAAAAATTCTTACCCAAGTATTTTTGCACAATCATCATAATACTTCATGGAATTTTTCACAAAACTGAAGCCATTGACATCACAGACATAGGACTGTCCATTGGCTCGTAATAAATCAAAGCCACAAACTGTTTGCTATTTAAAAAAGTGATTAAAGTTCCATTTGAATTAAGAGGTAGTTTCCAATTTTAATATAACACATCAAATCTGTGTAAAAGTATATCAGCTCACTTCATAGGAAGTAAAAAATGATTATAGTTCCTTACCACAATGTAGATACAGACCAATACACCTATAGGGCTGAGAGGCAAAGAAAATCACATAGTATCAAGTTCTTCAGCTAATATTTCAACTTGAAAAAAATAAGTATTTTTAAAGGTCTTGAAATTTTTGTAATATCAGAAAGTATAATGCTTTTATCTAAGGAAAAAAAAGGGGGGGAAATAGTTTTGAAGACATATCCTAGATAAAAGGCCCATTTATCCCTAAGTATCTTTTAGTCTGACAACTACATACTTGTGAGAATTTGAAACGAATTTATCTTGGAAATGTCTCAGAATACAAGACTTTCTGATATTCTGCATTTTATATTGAAGTCTACACATTCACATGAGTGTGATTTTGGAACTTATTACATAATTTAAATGATTTGTTTATATAAAGTTAAATAGTTAAAACATTTATAGATTAATTTATATATTACTTATATCTAGTCATTTGAAAGACTTTAAATTATTAAGACACAGATAATTAATTTAAAAACCAGAGACTATATAGTTGTCTTTAAACTACATATCGAAGACAAGGCTTCAAAAAGATAGAATTTATCTTTTAATAGATAGAAGAAAGCTGCAGTGTTTATACTTACAACTTTACAGTCGTACAAAAGCCTTAAAATATTAATTGAGGGAAATATTCAAATATCAAACAAGAAAGCTTTAAAAATATATTTATATTATTTTCACTTGCATGGCACCATATTTTTGGCTAAAGTATCAATTATCAAACTAGACGACTACTCAGAACATTTTTTTAATGAACAACAACCAAAAAAACCACATCAATTCTATGAATAAACAATATTTATAATGTTTTGTTTTTAGTACATTAAACAAAATTCCTAAATATTGGTTAACTATACTGTTTTTAGGTAAGTTTTTCTCTGCATTTTTAATAAATGAACAAATTGACAAAAGTTCTTTTTATACTACAAAAAGAATATGGAAAAAGACTTTCACTTCTTAGACATTTTTATTATAGTACTATAAGAACCCTTGAAAAATGTATTTAGTATTCATGTAACACTCAAATTTTTATCTTATTTCCCCAATTATAAGTCCATATAACATCTCTTTTATTTAAAAATTAAATTTGCAATTTCTTTTACAATGTTATACATAGCACTAAGGTCTTACCTTAAATGCAAGGCACACTTTCCAAGCAATTAATTTCTCTCGTGCATTGAGAATAACAGGGTATCTTACTTCTTTTCCTTCACTATCTCGTTCTACCTTGCCATCAAGTGCTGGAGATTTTCGAGCTTCAGCATGGGCATAATCTGGACCCACTGTATAGACCTTTCACAAGCATTAATATATATATGTGTGTGTATATATATATATATATATAACATGTGTATAAAAATATATAGAATCAGCAGACAACAAATTCAAAGAAAAAAAAAGATACTTCAGACTCCAAACTACCTGATAGTCACAGCCTCCTACCTTATGTTCCAAAATTTTTAATACACTGGAAAAAATTGTAAATAATGACATGGCAAACTGGGAAAGTGAGGTTCTAGTTTCTATAGAAAACAATTATCCTAGCACTTTGAGGGAATATGAGAATATATATGATGTTATCCTCAATGTCTTAGTTTAACAAAGAAGAAGTTCAAATTACTACCAGAAAATTTCAGAAGTCAGTAACTGCCAAAAAAAATATTTAAGATGGAGGATGGGGGTAGCAAACAGCATACATTTAAGGTCTGAAAAGAGAGAGAAAGGTACTCTAAACAAAGGTAATGAACACATACAGAGGTCAGAGGCATAAAAATAGTATGGCATTTATAGAAGAGTGAGCTATTTGGTAGTTTCTATTGTAAGAAACATGGTTCATATGGCAAATTGTGAAATGTCTTTTATGTCAGTAAGTCTCATGAATCTGACTATTTCCTGTGGTTTAAAAATGAGTCACTAGAGTTTTTTAGGGAGAGATTTATCATTGTGTCTACATTTCAGAAAGAGCATTCTGGTTAGAAAGAGATGCTAAAGGTTAAGCAATTAAGATCTTATTTGTAACCATCAGAAATCACACATATTTTATATCACATTAATTTTATATCTATCACATTATAGTTGTCATAGATCTCAAAACATTAATCAATGTTTGGAGGGTGGTACATATTAGACCTTTTTCCACTATATTTTATTATTTGATAGACTTTTAAAGAACTAGACACATTATTGTTTCACAAAATTGGTTTTTAAATATTTTGATAATTATATTTCAACAAAATCTGCTTATTATCTAATCCTTTATACATAATTTTAAGCATTTAAGAATATTATTCTTAAAAAAAAAAAAGTACAGTGGCCTCAGACTACCAAAGGTGTGCATACACAAAACAGGCATTTCCTAGTCACATAGAGAAATCTAAAAGTTAGAGACAGCAAATTAAAATACAATTATCTTTCTGCAATCATTGGTAAACTCTAAGTACACTATTGAAATATACTTTTATTAATCCTACCTTAACATCAGTACCATCTGTGGGCATAAACTCTTCATATATATATGAGCCTGTTTTTCGTACATTACTTTCTGGAGAGTAAACGCTACTTCTACTACCAATCTGGAAACAAAAGAACATATATTAATATAAGAACTACAATACTCCCTTACTTATACTAAAATCAATATAATCCTTTTATCATCTATTTCCATCTCAGATGGAAATTTTTTAATTTACAAATATTTAACAAAATTTACAAAGTAGTCAACACCACATTATTTTCTGCTATAATTGTAACTTATACATACATAAATTTAACAGTGTAAAAATATTTAAGCTGAATCTTATTTTTCTAAGAATCAACAATATCACTGTATGTTTGTTTATTTTCACTGCTATAGAATTAGCTACTGTAGAATGTTCCAATATATAATACAACATATTTCATTTATTCTCTATCAAGGTACTTTTAGGTTGCTAAGTTTTAGTTGTAGATTAATGTTGCCCCAAACATTCTTGCACCCCAATACACATGTGCAAGTTCTCTAACTTTTACATTAGAAAAGTGGAATTGCTGGCTGACAGACTATGCTCATATTCAACTTACATAATGTAAACATCTTTTAGAAATAGTCTTAACAATTTAGAATGTCTTTGGCACATCATTTTATAAGTTCCCACTGTTGTACATCTTTGCCTATATTTAGCATTGTTAGACTTTGTAGAATTTGCCACTCTAATTGATATAAAATAGTATAGCACTGTGTTCTTACTTTGTAATTTCATTTCTATGATTGATTATAAGTGTATATGGTTATTGCATCCATTACTTTACTAAATGGCTACTTTTACTTGCCTACTAAAAAAGCTTGGGTTTGCTTGCTTTCCAATTACCTCACCCTTTCGATTTTTGCCAATCCAAAAAAGAATTCAATGTCATCACCTTTTAGATTTGATTTGCACTAAAGTTTCGATGGATAAAATTTTAAATGTACTTTCATCTATTTCAAAATTGCTGTATTAATTTCCTTAAGAACTATCCATTTTGGGCCATTTTTTCTAAGACTACTAATATTTACCTGTATTTCTTTTGTTGATAGATATGTAAATAGAAATTAAAACAAAAATAAGTAACTCCCTTGGAGTTTTGTAGATGGGATTTCGCATAAGCAATATTAAATAACTAAAAAGATTACTTGCTTCTTTATCAAAGTATTTATTGCTTTACCTCTGAAGTTTTTTTAATTAGCTTTATTAAATATGTGATTACTTTTAGTAAAACTTAACAATGTATGAATAAGAGTATTTACTAGGATAATAAAGGCTCACCTTTCGAAAAAGTCTTTGACTTCCACCACCAGCAGAAGTTGGATAATAAATGTAAACATTGTGATCTTCTGCACTGACTGGTTTTTCTACAAATGGCTTTTGGAAAACTTCCCCATTTACTTCTACATGATCTTCTCCTTCAATCAGATTGCATTCTAGCAAACATTACAGACAGGAAAAAATACATATTAAATGTCATCTACATGTATTACTGCTATGTATTAAGCTAGAAATTACAAACAAAAGTAAGCTTGGAACATACACTCATTTGTTTTTAATTAAAAATGTTAATGCAAGCAACATATATTAGCATTTATAATATATACAGCACGGCATTAGAAACAACAGTTGTTCTTCAAAATCACAATCTCTTCAAAATCACCCCACCATACCACAGAATTCAATGTTAGATATGAAATTATGCCAACAAGATTGAGCTATTATCTTCTGCAAAACACATGATCATTCATAGTCACCGCTATACAAGCAAGAAATGTTCTGTACCATAGACAGTAATAGTTATGTATTATTTTTAGTAAACACTGCTTTAAGACAGGTAAAACATTAGCTTGCATTTTTAGATTAACTTATATGAAACATACAAGCTGTATTTAAGATAACCATGAAAATAAAGCAAAAGGTGTTCAAAACAGTAATATTTCAGTATTTCTAGACATTAAATATTTAGCGATAGCACCCTAGCATGAAGTTTCTAATATTTAATTCAACAGTCATAGATGAATCATTGTAACCAATACCAGTTTTTGTTATGTATATAATAAATGATTCTCAGAGATATAACAAAAAGCAGTATATATAACTCCTAAATTATAAGTTAGTCTATTAGCTCATAGGGTGACATTTTAACTGAATGTAATGTTTATTTGGATCAATGGGGGAAAAAATGAACATAGTACTCTGAGTTTTTAAAATTCCCACCCCTTAAATAGTTTAAATGGCTTTAAAGTATATTGAGTGACAGAGATAGCTTGCTTAAAATTTTACTCTTACCTTTGGGATTATTTGGATCACGATTCAAAATTGCGTAGCGGGGAAGTAAAATACCTTCCGCTTGAAGAATACTATATACTTCTCTCCTGAGGAAAAGTGGGAATCATCTTTGTGGTTTTATTGTTGTCTCACAATGACAGTATTATTGTGCTGTTCATAAAGTATATTACTATTCTACTATTCAAAATACATTTATTTAAATCTACTGATTTTTATAATTTTTAAATAAATGTGTCATTTCAATATATATTGAAAAAAGATTAGAAAATACACAACAATTAGCAGACAAAGCATGCATAATAATTCTGTGACATATTAATATGTTAATTTTTAAAGTTGGGAATATAATATGTAAAAAGTAATGGTTAAATAGAGTTACTATATTGCAAACCAAAATATGACCTGTTAAAACTTTACACTCAGTGTCTAATGACACAGGAAAATATTTAAGTATTATAAATGTAAAGTGATCCTTTTGTAAATTGTGTTTATGCTATGTACTGCTTTCTATTGAATGTAAAGAAAAATGTGGTAGTTATAGGGCAGGGTTAAAGACCTTATTTATGAACATATATTTATATGTGTGTATATATATTTACACTTACAATATATAAATATGTATTACTATGTCAAACTAGGATGTTCTAAAATTTTAAAAATAATACTACTATATAGAAGAAGAGGGGGAAAAGGAAAAGGAAAAATACAGGGTCTTATTTCTCAAGTATTTTCACATATATAAACTCATTTTAATGCATTTATAAGCAAAATAGAATTCTGGAGAAAAGGATAGTCTTCAAAACGAAATTCAATTAAATGAAATGAATGCATCATTTTATCATTTTTCCTACCACATCTATGCTATTGGCTTATTAAATGAATGTTTAGAGTGAACTATTTTGCAAAAACGGTTATACTTTTCCAGTTTTAAAAATCTAGTTAAAATGAGTAAAACCCTAATTTTATCTTCAGCCACATGTTAAAATATTTTCATTGGTTTAATAGGCTCAAGAAATTAAACAAACCTAGTTTAAGTCCTTATCCTACTACTTGTGGAATTATCTGTGACTGAGCAAATTAATTGACCTCCCTAATTTTCAAGTTTCTTCATCTGTAAAACTGGATATAATTAGTAAGATCTAAGTACAAATTCAAGAATACTGTGAAAAATGTAAAAACAACTAAAGCCATATCAGTTTAAAATAGATACTACATAAATGTTAACTTCCCTTCTCTTAATACAGTTAACTTCACCACTCACTCACCTATCTTGTATGAGATACTGCATATTCAAGTCATTGATTACAAATGGATTCCTGAGTTTTGCATAGGCAACAGCTTTGTCCAGTGGAAATCCTAAGAACACATATTAATAACATATTCTGTACAAATTTCAAATAATGTGATGTTTACAACTTATCAACTTGAATTAATGCCACTTCCCATAAAAGATTAATTTCATTATAAGTGTTTTCAACAGAAGGCCTGGAACACAGAATTTGATTTAATTTATACTGCTAAGTTAATCTTATTGCTCCCTAGTTATTTATAGGCACAACAAGCAGGTGGCTATGTAATTACATTTAGAACACTGACACGTAGTCAATGCCTTATCACCAGATAGAAGATTACTTTGTGTGCAAACAAATTTCAGTACAAATAAGCATATCACAAACCTGGTAATTTTTTTGTATAAGTATATAATATACATCCACCCTCTTTCTCACATAATACCTATAAATTAGTTAATAATTAAAAAAAACCTATGCATCTTTAACAATGGCAGCAAAATTTAAAATTCAAATACAACTGATCAATTCAAAACGTAAAATATATGAAGACCTAACAAATATCTAAAAAATTTTAATGATTTTACATTTTGTATTGACATTAAATGTTTCCAACTTTCATCAATATAGATTATTAAAACAGACATTAAATTAAAAAAGAACATAAGACAGAGTTCAAGTCCTGGTTCCATCTCTCACCAACTACATGAAATAAGACAAATTCATTTAACATGCCTCTGATTCCATACTGTAATTGGGTCATTACGCTAGTTTTACCTAGTAGGGTTTTTAAGATATTAAAAAATAGAGTGTATATAAAAATACTTGCCATAGTATCTGGCATAGTAAATTAAATGCTCAATAAATTTAAACTATTATTATTCTTTAAATGACAATATTCTAGTGAATATCTTATCTGAGGAAAAGGGGAAATTACAGCAAGCATAAATAACTTAAGCATTTAACTACAGTATTTTACAATATACCTGTGAATACACTTTATTTTCCATCATTATCAGATTAGTAAGTAGAAGGAGGAAGTATTAAGCACACTGAGGTAAAAATACCTATTAAGTCAGATGAAGAAGATTTTCATTTTTAAGATTTAAACAGAGGTACTCTATACTAAGAGTCACTTGGCCACAGGCTACAAACCCTTCAAGCTTTATAAAGATACTCAAAATTCATCACTTGTAAAAATGTCTCAGTCAATGCTTTGAAGCCTTCCAGGATTCAGCAAATAGGACACTCCTATGTAGTCAGTTTTATTTGTTTGTTTATTTATTTATTGCTAGAGGAACTTTTTCCTTATCAAGAGACAGTTTATGACACATAACTTTAAATAGCACCTCGCTTTCCAGACAACTGCTTTTGTAGGAAGAACTTATGAGAGTAAGGGAAGATTACTTAAGGATAAGCAAATTTTAGGATTCTCTAAAATGAGGAGATACCAGTTGTAAAGAGGACCAGGGCCTTAGATTCTCTAAGAAATGTTGAAAATCAGTATAGGTAATGAAAACACAAAAAACCTCACTCATATCCCACCTCTTTTAGGCTAAAGGAAATTCATTTTCACTTAACTAAAGTTAAGTTGGAAATTTAACACTACATGTTCTGGTAACCAAAATGATCTAATATGAATATCTTTACAGATGAAAGCACACAGTTTATATAGTTCTTGTGAGAAATTCACTTCTCAGATTATGGATTTTCAGATATATATTTAACAGTAATTTTGAAAAGTGGACTTTACTGTGAAGTAATACATAAGCTTACTTAATTTTTCAGTTATATTTCTAAAAGATAGCAAGTAAAATCTAAAATTCAAATATTACATTCTTAAGAAACAAAGTGTGAACAGGTACATCAGGGATGACAGATGGTTTCTTTGTCGCAAATTCATAAGGACTTATTTTCTGTTTGTCTTATCAATATTCCATAATTACGATGTAATTGTTTTATAATCAGAGAGGATAAATGAGGGTTCCCTCCCCCTTCTCTAGTACCTTTGGAATGGAAAGAAATAAGACAATCGCATAATGGCCAGTTTTCTACTGGTTCATTCAAAATAACTTCCTCTTCAAATACTACTACTGTGATATATTTAAATAAGGAGATCCGTTCAAGAATTTCTTTCATTGGTTTGGATTTGGATTTCTTTGCCATGGAACATATTCCAACCACAATCTGTCGTTCAGGTGGCTGAAATAGAGGAGACAAAAATTAGGTTAAACTCGTAAGAATTTCAAAGTATAGTTAATTGTTAATCTTTTTCAGAAACACATGAGGCAAGTGGTAAACCAATAAAAGTCATATATCAGCCAAGAAGGTTATTTTTCAAAGTTATATTGTTACTACATACTTTATAAGTAAAAGTAAATTTTCTACAAAGTTCTGCTAAAAAATTTAAAGTAAAAACACTTTCAGAACATGTTTACTATTTTCATTCCAACTTCCAACTTAAACAAATGCTCCTTTTTTTCTCTAGCGTTTATTTACCTCTCTCACACCAGAAACAAGGGCAAAGAATAGCCCAAACACACCTAATTCAAGTAAGAAGGACTGCTAATGTGAGATTAAGAATTCTCTTGTCTAAATCTGTGATTTTCTGATTATAAACCTGTAGAGTATGAAACTACTTGGTAAACTGAGCTGCTTTCCTAAGTTCAATAAATATTAGTTGGTCACCAATGACAACATGGAAGGAAATTTTGGAGAATGCTATCAAAGCTCCCCACATTCCAATCTTCATACTCAATGTTCCTATTTATAGGTGCTACTCTCCCCTTGCACCCTCACTGCAGTTCAAAGGCCATGATTTGGTCTAAAATGGACAAATCAGGATAAATACACATTATCTATCAGGAGCTAGCAGGTTCACAAAACACTTAAGATTGATTTTAAGGTCTTTGCATTCAAGTGCTCAAAGTTTTATCAAATATATAAAGTTGTGTTCAGGTTTTCCTATCTCCTCTCCCTTCTACATTTTATTTCATATGACATTATAATCTGTGCCCACAACTGCTTTACTAGACTTTTATTATCTAAAAATGCAATTGGATAATATCAAAATTCTTATTCCTCTTCATGTTTAGAAATAAATGTCTTTATTGTCTCATTGGGATTTAGAGTTCAAATTGGCATTAATATTTCACTATAGTTTCATTATAAGTCAAATAGATTATAAATTCTAACCTCTCTGGGGTCTCCTGCTATTTCCTCCTCTGATCATGTACTTCTATGTTCCCTTATTCAATTCTTTCCCTATCAAAATTCCATCTTGTTTCATGATGATGTTCTACTGCATTTCTCCAGAAAACAAGGACACTCAACCTAACATTTTGCACTGCTTCAAGAATATACTAGTAACATTTAACAAGAAAATCTTTTGATTTATGGCCCTGGTTATGTTTTATCTTTGCCCCCACTTCTACCCAAACCTGAGCTATGCTAGGCATATCACTGAAAGATACTACATACAGTAGTTATCATCAAACAGCTTAGAAGACTAGTTGTATTTTTCATGTACCACCTACTCAACAATGTTACTCAAAAAACAAAATATGCTTTTTTAGTTTAAAATAGGTCTAACAGATTTCTATGTGAAAATAGTCTCAATAATTTAAGATACTTCACATTGACTATTTAAAAAGTCTATCCTGTATTGCTCATTTTTTAGCAAACAACTTACAGACTCATCTTCCTCTTCCTCATCTTCTTCCGTATGGTGGAAAAAATGTCGGTAATTTCCAGGGTTTATTTCAGTATCTTCAGGTCCCACAAAGAATCTGGGAGCTTCACTCATTTTTATTTCATTTGATATAGATAAAATTTAAATGTGCTATAGTGACACTGCTGTTAAATAAACAGTATCAGAAAAAAGCATTCTTTTTATACCAGCTAACACATAGGACTGTTGCAGTTTGTTTCTGCTTATACAAACACTTCAATTGTGATGACAGGTAGTTGGCATATGTTCTTTTGTTCCTGGATATTATTGCTTCATTGTTGGTGGAGTTTAAAAGACAAAAATAGTGAGACTATTTCTTCAGTGAGTTGTCACAACAATCTTTTACCTAAAATGCAATGAGAAAATTAATTTTGGGGACTGTATTTCAAAAACATTTGATCAAGAAAGTACAATCCAAATGCTTCATTTGATTACTGTTTAAGAAATTATTTGATCAACTATTCTCAAGAGTTGAATAAACCACACTAGGTTGAATTACAAAGCATAACTCAAGATTCCTATTTGAAAGATCTAATTCTAGTTTACTTAATGAATAGTTATGAAATACTAACACTAGTTTACTGAGTCAGCTTGATTTTACTAATCTTTAAGATTACAATTATAGTGTATAAAATTTGAACAGCTTGTGATTAAAAGAAGAATGCAGAAATAATTCACTTTATAAATCAATACTTTTTATTATTTCCTTTAAAGGGTTTTATATATAAAGCATTTGCCGAGGGGCCGTCTCTGGTAGCACAAGGGATTAAGTTTCAGCACATGAAGCTATTTACCAGCCATTGAGAATCAAATTCAATCCCCAGTCAAGGAGCTAACAACCCACATGGCTTAGCAGACCTCTCCTTTCTCACCTGCCACTCCCCTCAGAAGTATTTCAATTTGCTTGCTCTGCTCCCCACTCTGTCCTGGTGAATCCTCTCACACAGACCCCACACCTCTGGCCTGTACCCCAGTTCTGTATACAAAAATAATATTTTTTAAAAGCCTAGGTTTCTTAAGAATTTTACTACTTCTATCTCAGGCAATTCTAGAATTTCAGTGGTGAAAACAGCAGGTGGTGTTTCCCTGATTGCCTCAGGGTTATTAAGTCTCAGCACTATCACCTCCTTTCCACCTAGGGAGGGATCAAATTCAGTCCTTAGATGTGATATAGTTGAGACTTAACCCATAAGTCATCAGGGAGACACCACATGCTGTTTTCACAACTGAAATTCTAGAATTGTCTGAGGGGAGTTGCAGGGGAAATACTTGGAGCAGCAACCTCTCCTATATCACCTGCTTCTTCCCTCAGAGTATATTTCAGTCAGTCTGCCTGTTCTGCTCCCCACTCTGTCTCTGGTGAATCCTCTCATCCCCTGCACCTCAGGCCTACACCCTAGATCTTCTACGCAAAAATTAAAAAAAAAAAAATTTTTTTCTGTTGGTGATCCATTGTTATTTTAAAAAGTTTGCTGTAGTTGACATGGAATAACAAAGAAACAAGGAAAACATATGTCATTTATACATTTTCACTTTACTCTGAGTATGTATACATCTTAGTTATTTACCCACTGAAAGTACCTAAGAGTGTGTGTACAGTTTATAAATACATGCTCAGTAGAAAAATTAAAACAGAGAAAATTCACTTA